TTGGAAATTTCTGCGCTACTTGCACATCAACCGGCAGCCATTAATAAAAATCGGTTCTTTTCAATATCTTAGCAAAAAAAATCTGAATAATTTTCAATTTATGATTGAGAAGACGAAATAGGCTTGGGATGTTGGCGCTTAGTGGTGAAATTTTGTTATGGCCACAAGTGCGTGTAGTTAAACTTGCTCGCAGTCCGTTATGCGGGCTGACACATGTTACAACATGCACTGCTGGATGCCAACTCCTCATATGTCAACAAAAATGTCTCCTCCGGATCTAGGGCGCTTTAGTAACCGTGTTGGTAGGTATATAAGGCGACAGGCCGTTAAGACGACAAACATTGAGAAGAAGAATTGCGAAATTTTCAAGATTCTGGTTGGTTACATTTTTCTCAAAAAGAGACAAAAAAAATTTTCAAGTTTAAAAATAGAAAAATTTGATGCGTATAGACATCTAGCAAAATACACTACACCAAAACTTGACCCTTTTAATTTTTAATCTAAAGAAGTGACATCCAAAAAAAGCTACATTTCTAAGCTTCTGCTTTTTTTTTTAATTCTGCTCTTCGACGTATCGGCTCATCGCTGGTGTCAATTCATCTCCGCCGTTTGAAAGAGCAATTTATGATGGAATTGAAAATCAGCAGTAATGTACTTTATTGCTGTGTTCTGAATCATTTTCAGCAAACCGAATTCATTTTTCCACTGCTTTGAGATGATAAAACATGCGTGAACACTTGAACAAAACAAAAATTTCCAGCTACGAGAAAATCAATTTATGACTGACTTGCGTGACGGTTATGGAAATGTGTTTTTTGATTTTTGAAAGAACTGACAGATTTTTCAGAATTTTTAGCCTGGAGATAGATTACAATGGCGTTTTGAAGGGGAGAGTTTACTTAACCATGACTCATATTAAAATCAATTTTCCCTGAAAAGTTAAGTCTCCTCTTTTTTCAACTTGATACTTGAACGGAAAATGCTCAATTGAAGAATTCAGTAGATCGAAAAGAATTATGAAGTGATAGTAGCTCCCTTTTAAAGTTCTCACTTAAGAAAGAAGCAAAATATCGTAAGAAATACGACAAGTTGTTATTGCATCAAACATTGAGCCGCCTGAAATCTTCCATCTCAACAATAATATTAAATACAAAAAATTTACCAGAAATTTTGAAAGAATTACAGATATTTTTTTAAAACTTGATGTTAATGGGTCCTTGGTTCAATTTAATGAACAGTAACTTATCGAAATCATCTTAGATTAGGAGTAAAAAATAAACTATTAATGAGAGCTGCACGCTGTACCATAACCAAAATCCGGTTAACGCATTTCTAGCGATATTTATGAAGCACGCTAAATGCTATTTTTACAGTTAGTTAAATGTTTTTGATTTAAAAATAGATTCGTTCTAAGGGAATGAAACATTTGTTCAAGATGTGATTTTTTCTCCATACAAATCTCAACTTTTCACCTTTTGATAAGTTTTCTTATATCATCTGAAAAAGTTTGTTGCCGTTAGATCAAAATCAAAAACTTTTTCACTACCGCTATTTTTTGTAAAATCTGTGGTGACAGAGAACTACCGATTTCAATTTGAACAAGACTGCTCGTATCAGGGCGAAGCCCTGAGTGTTCCGACTGCCTCTAAGGTTTATGGAGCAGCAGTAAAAACATTAAAAAAATTAAACGAAATAAAAAAAAAACGAAAATTTATTTTTCTAAAATTTGATTTTTTTAATGAAAATCATCCCCCCACACGCCATATAAAATACAAAAGAATAGATTTCGCTCCTAGTTACAAATCAATTATGGCAAATAAGCTTCGTTCAACCAATTTGGAAAGATTTGTAAGACGGATTAAATCTCCGCTTGCGCGTTAATAGCGCGAATTATATCGCGCGTTAATTGTCCCAAATTGGTCAATGTGGCAATCTTTAAACCCTCATAACTTTACGAAAAATGATCACAGGTTAAATATCTTTTCAAATTTAAGCTCAGGACAACAATACCTTTTGAATGATATAAAAAAATTCCGTCAAAAACGGCTATTTAAAAAGTCGAAATTTGTCTGAAGAAAAAAACCCACCCCGAGCACAAATATTTCGTGACTTTTGTATCGAAAGTCGGAACAAAAAATTAGAAAATTTGTTGCGATCAGAATCTGCAGTTTTCTGTTTAAAAAAATTGTTTTTGAGCTATCCCGTCTCAAAACTAATTCCAAATTAAAGAAAGGGAGGCTAATTGATCCATATCTAGCTCCAATGGCTGCGAGATTTAATTATTAGTTCTTGATTCTGCTTAAAACCAATCATAAATTTTACCAGTCATAGATTAGGAAACATTTTGTACAGCAAAAACTTTTGTACCTTGAAATGATTTTTTTTCTGTTCAAACTTCAAGGAACTCCAATATTGCTCGGTTTGTTTTTTTTTGTGCAAGCCTTTTTCCAAATTTTTAACCAAAAATTATTATGTCTTGAGTTTAAACTAGAAAAAACATATTCTTTTGCAGCATATATTTTCTGGGTCTAGAAAATTGCCAATTGATCAATATTGAGATAGTTTTTGTGCGCAATATTTACATTCTCCTTCTAATGTGTAGACTAGATCGCAAGATAAATGACTGAGCAATCGAGTCACTAAAGTCATCAGATTTTAAATAAAAATTGTAGGGAAAAAACAATCAAAAAGTTTTGAAAAAAAAAATTGAGTTTCACCTTTTCTTGACTCTTTTCAATTTTTTTTAAGAAAAACTACTTCAGAGATTTTAAAAGGTAGGCGGGGCAGTAATTTCTTTTTTTGGCAAACCAGGTTCCATAAAAAAGTTCCTTCTACGTTTTTTAGAAGTTTTTGAAAAAGAACACAAAAACTTACCCTTTCCTCTTAGATGTTACAGCATACTGCACACATAATCGCGAAAAATTATGTTCACTTTTTTCTGAATTGAACATTAAAATGCTGGCTCGCTCTATTCAAAGAGGATGTTTTGATCCGGGTTTCAAAAATCTGCCCCTAATTGATATTTTGTTTTCCTACTGAGATTTTGAATGGAACATGTTATGAACAAGGATTAATTGTGCAGTCAGGATGGATTTAGATAGGGCAATTTGGCGGACGCCTATCTCCTCTCAAAGATTGTCCCCCCGGCCTTCCAAAGGTTCTTCCCTTAAGTGCTAGTTTATGACTTATTTTTTGGCCGACCGACACTTTTCTTAAAAGCTCTTTCGGCGCTATATAAACTTATATTTGGGGAATAAATCTAAGGAACGCGCACCAGAAAACGCAATTTTCTAGCTCCCCCTTGCCACAAAGCGCTCAAAATTTTTTCAAAGAGGGATAGTTATAGTGTTCTTGGAGACTAGTAAAATAGTTTGGTCGGCCGAAAAAAGTCGATACAATTTTCGAAAATTTGCATTCGAGCGCGCGTTTTCAAAAATGTTTCAAAAAATTTGCTGACCTTTTTAGGGAAAGAGCGTAATTTGGGAAATAGGTATTTATGATATTCTCTTCGGCTGATTCGAAAAATTAAAAGTAGTTTTAAAAGAGGTTGCCAGCTGTCAAAAAAATGACTTTCTGAACGGCACTTGGCGATTGAATGATTAGTTTTTCTGGCCTTCATGGGTCAGTGGCGAGACAAGTCGCCACGAAAGTCAACTCGCAATTTTTCAGGGAAGGGACAACTCGCAAAGTTTGCAAATCAATTTATTTCAAAGTTTGAAAAATTAAAGCTTTTGTTTAAAATCCTACCCTCTGCTGGCAAGATTGCAACAACGATAGCCGGTTACTGTGCAGGTAGCAGAGAATGTTCCGACCATGGTCTTTAGAAAACTCAGGTTTAGAAAGTTTTTTTTTCCGAATTAGTGTAGTTTTTTTTGCTTGGTGTGATAAAAGGATATGACTTAATGATACAACTAACTTAGGTATATTAGACAGTCATAGTAATATAGGCAAATTGTACAAAAATTTTGTAGAAAATTGACTAGAAAAACTAAAAAAAGTATTAAAAAATTTTTTTTCAAAAGTTTTTGAAAAAAAAAATTTGAGCTTTTTGAAGTTTTTGGTTCCCAAAATGAAACTAAAAAACTCCAAAAATTAGTTTACTTGCTTAAAGTTAGGTTTTAAGGTTTTAATTTACGCATAATTCAGCTGTTGCAAGACTGCTCGTCTGCTTCGGGTGATCGAATTAAAACGAAAATTCAAAAACTTCAAACCGGTTTTTCTCGACTCTGGGAAAGTTTTTTTTAGATCTCAGTGTTCAAATCAGTGTTTTTGGTTCGAATCATGACTGAAAGGGCTTCAATATAATATATCCAACAACACAGTCCGATGATTATTTGTGGTAGTTGATTTTTCAAGTAAAACAAAAAGCAAAAACAAAAACTTAAACACACCAGAATATGAAATTCCTCCCCATTTTTCAAATGGTCGGAACAATAAGTTGGCGCAACAGTCTGTTAATGCGAGTTGTAGTTTGTTGCGAGTTGTCGCATTACGGCATGGGCCCTCAAAAAAAGTTAAAAGAAAATGGCTATTTGCTCTACCACTAACAGGAGATTCTTAATTAAGAGAACTTCGGTTTTCTCACGTATAATCAACTGCCAAAGTTTGGGTGATGATTTATATCAAGCCTTATCAGTCACAAGCTCCATTGAAAACCCTACTTTTTTTAAAGGGTGAATGGCATTTCAGAGAAAATAAAAGCAATGTGTTAGTCTTGAAGTACACTGACTTTTTATTGTTTTGTTTATATTAATATGATGAATAAAATAGTTAATGATGAATCAATTAAATCAATACGAATATGGTGATTTTGAAATCAATCAAGCTAGCAGTTTGAATAAAAACGGAAAAACAGACCCCACAAAAAAGTCAATAAGCTATTTGCATTAAAATTGAACAAAAATGAACGGTAAAACGATTGATTTCTCTGTGTATCTTCATGATTGCAATGAAAATTGTGGTAGCAATTGTGAAAAAAAAATCACATTTTTATCTTTCAGCGCAACCCAAGCAACGAATCAAAACAGAGTCGGCCTTCGTCTTTGCCGAGTGACTCGTCTTCAGGTGTCTCGTCAATCGCGACCGGTCCTGTCGTGAGACCCAAGGCCAAGAGAGACACCAGTGGCCGAAGAGGACGCCAGAAAAAACCGCCAGCAGTTGGGTTTGGTGTTCCGCAGGGAAATGGGGTTGGTGTTCCGCAGGGAAATGAGGGATTGGATGGGGAGAGTAAGAGCGCGACATTGACCAACCAAGTTGTGACTGCTGACGGGTGTGTGCTGTGTGAGGAGAGATGTCCGGAGTTGAAATTACACCCCTGGAGGTGAAGATTTCTGTCCAACAATTTATTTTTTAAAGTTTTTTCAAAATTTTTTTGTGCCCATAAGCTAAGGATGTTCACTCGATCCAATGTTTCTCCCTATTTATTTGCTTTAAGGTCATCTTTGACCAAATATGTTTTTCTTGCTGAGATTTTTCTATATAATTGCTTTTATTTCCCTTAATAAACTGAAGAATGAACCTTTTGGATGATAATTCTGTATAAATTTCATTACTCCCTGTCATATTTTTATATTTCACCTGAAAACTCTCGTTTAACGGTTGAAATCATTTGAACAAACCGTGTGTTCAGAAAGGATGCTAAAATAGATTCCTCCCATCCGTTATTAGCTTCAAATCAAGCATTGAGATAAACTCTTCCCCTTATTTTCTGTTCACTCCCCAAAGAGTACTTGGTAATGCGGGAAATATGGTACAATAGCAAAAATTTCCTGTCCTAATCGATTTTTAGCCGAACTCTAAATCACTCTAAACTGTTTGTAATTTTCACCAATAGTGGATTATTTAATAGAGATGTGTGAGATTTTTTAGAGATGGTGCAACTTAAATTCGGCCAATTAAGAGGTTCATTTCTGTTGAAATTGATCGATGGTATCTTTCGGCACAGGTGTTTTGCAACCAATCGATTTGAGTTCAAAGGGGATTTGTGGTATTGGCTTTTCTTACCATCAAGCGTATCTGCGGAAAGTGGAACATAAAAATATAAAGAAAGAGACAAAATGTCTATGTTGTTTCTAAACAAGCTTCCCTTTCATCTTCTGCATTTTTTGCAATTAATTATTTCTCGATTTTTTATGAAATCAGTTTTTGTTTTATTCGTTTCCAAGATACGTATTGATCGCTTTTAGTTCTTCTATGACGATGATACCAAATTCGTTTTTAGCACGGAGTTAGTTATATCCTTTCAAAAAAAGTTAAAAAATAATGGATGAATTTTCTAAATTTTGCGATCTATCTACGGGAGATTTTGACTAAACGAAGCACTTAACACTTTAACTGCGACCATTTTTTCCATGATTAACATATAATTGGGTATTCAACATATAAATGAGCTTATGAAACCAACAAAAATCGAGCCTCCTAAATTTGAACTTATTTTTTGGAAGGAAAATTACTGATTTCTTTTTAAAGGTCAAAAGAAAAAACACAGACTGGTTGGCTTACAAAAAAGAATGGAAATAGAAAAAGGGAACAGACCAAATCTCATAAGCTAAGCTTCGCCCAAATTGGAGACTTTAGGGTGATTTTTGCCCTTACCATTGTAACTTGATTGACGTATTTTCCACGTTTGACTCTCACTTGGCAAAATCGAATTGCGAATTGAACATTCTTAGCAGTAAAACCAACTGACGTATATTACATGCTTACTTGTCCGAATGACAATTAGCCATTGATAAAAACTAGAAGTCGATTTTGTTCTCCGGTAATTGGAATTAGACGATTTTGCTCTAGAAAAAAAACCATTTTAACTTCAATCACAAAAATCAGAGTGTCGTTGAAAATAAATGCGAGAATAGCCTATTGTATCACAGCCAAATGTTGAAGATGAAAATTTGTTCGTAATGGTTTCATTTTTTAAAGAAATAACAAAATTGACAATTTTTAACAGCATTAAAACAATTTGTTTCAAAGGAGGTAACGAAAAACTTATGCTTCGGGTATTTTTTGATCAATTTTTTTAAAAATTGAAATAAAGCTTTTCTTACCGAACAAAAAATGATGTCATCTTTCTGAGTTCAATTAAATATGATATTTTACCTGCGATTATTTTTTGTTGGATTCTGGGGGTCTGAAAATTGGTATTATGGCCATGTGCTCCGCTAGTTTATACGTGTTTTGAAAATTCCTCTCGAAGACTAAATCTCGAATTTTTTCATGTTATTTTGAGCCATGTGTTTTTAAGTAATTTTTGAACTTATACTTAATTCAATTTAGATTAAAAAACTGAATGAAACCGAAAAAAAAAAGAAAATACAAAAGTCAAACATCGAAAATCCAAATTGAGCGTATGAAATAAAAACCTAATTGAGCGTCACGACGGAATTGAATATTTTCCTACCTTAAATTGGCATTTATAGTTGGTAGATTTTTATAAGTTTCACAAAATGTACTGAAAATTATTCAAAAACTCAAAAAGAAAAAGCTAAAATGAAAAAAAATGAAAGCAATTTTTGCCGCTTCTTTCGGAGTAATTTCCTGTAGATCGTTGGAAACATTTGCTCAAATTTTACAATGTGTACAAACTTGTTTCCAAATTCGACTGTTGTACACAAAAAAAAATTTGGCTTTCTGACATCTCCAACATAAATTATGGGCCTGCAAAAATTCAAAAAAAATATACTGAAGTTCAATATTTTTTTTTCATTGTTTCTTAATTTTGAAAAAAGCAGTAGCGTCAAATTTAGAAACGAATTAGCGTACATCATTCAAATTGTAAGAAAGTCATTGTAGAACTTGATTTTTTTTTTCATTTTAGATTATGAAACTGAAGTAAACCGAAAAAAAATTACAAAAGGCAAACTGCGAAGAAGGAAAGTTGAGCATATCAAGTACCAACCAAACCGAACATAACGACCCAATTGAATCTCTTCATATCGTGGCTCTTCGAATAAAAAGAAGCTCAAATTTTACAATTACTTTCTTAAAATTAGAGTTGTGTAGAGAACGCTAAAGAAGAGTTCACGTTGCTTGCAAAAAAACAAGTCCATTTTCTCGTGGCTTATATATTGTCATGTATAATCAGCCATGTTTCAAAAAATTCAAAACCGTTTTAAAAGCTAGTCAATAGCCCAAAGACAAAAAAAATAAAAAGATAGCCGATTATTGTGCAAAACTTTTGAAAGTCTTTTGAAAATTTTTTAATGTCACTTGAATCACGACTAAAAACGGTTTTAACATGATTTATCACTCAACCCTGTTCAATGACCATTTTTGGTACCTGATTTTGCGTGGAAGAAAAAGAAAAAAACTAAAACAGACCCGAATACAAAACTCCTCCCCATTTTTAATGCTCGGAACAATAATGACAAAAAAAAGATTTGCCGCTGCTTTCGGAGTCATTTCCATTAGATTGTCGGAAAAATAGCTGTGCAACCTATTGGAAAAAATTTGACATGCAGCTGTGGTAGTGCAGCCATCTGTAGTACACAACCTTGAGGACAGTTGATAACTACTGCATCTGCAGTAACCATATGTGCTAACTATTTATTATGTTATTATTATGTAAGTGGTCAAGGTCATGCGTTGTTGTCCAACACTAAAGTTTGAGTTGTTCAGTGTGTTCATATCTCATACTGAAAAGCAGTAACAAACTATCAGTTATTAACTAAGAACAGGACAAAACTAACAACAGTAAATTTACATTATCCATCTTATTCTTCTTCCTAACACGCTCCGCAGATTAGGGTTATCACATGGCGCAGCCAGCAGGATTCTTTGCTCAGGATAACAGAACTGACATAGGAATTCCTGTATATTGGACCACAGCGAACTCAGATCCACCTTGGAATTTTAAAGTATGGTTAGATCAGTTTCTGATGGCGGTGACAGTAAAAGAAAATGTAAACCCTGAAGTTATGCTGGAAGATCCCAAACCAGTATTAGAGGAGCCGGAACCCCGTCCAGAAACACCCAGAGACGGCGAATCTGCTGCTGCAACAGCAGCAAGAGAAGCAAGAGATAGATTGTTGAGAGATAGAGTGGCAGCTGAAAATGAAGAGCGAAGAGAAAGAGGACCCAAGGTGGGCCACAATATTTACTATAACGAAGTTCAGAAGCGATTAATATCTAGACTATTTCTTGCGTTTGGGACTGAAGGAAAGAAAAGATTTGTTCAGAAAAATCCACATGTGGAAATTTCGAAACTGCAGTTTAAGGAGATGGTTAGATTGGCAAAGGAAACTTTTGAAAAATGCCAAAGTATTACGTACGAGCGGTACAAATTATTCAATAGAGCACAGGAAGTAGGAGAATCTTTAGAATCATTTCATGCAGCACTAACTGCACAAGCAGCTAAGTCAGCATTGGACACTTTGGAAGACGAATTGGTCAGAGATCTCTTTATTTCGAAAATGCGAAGCCCAGTTCTACAGGATACACTCACGTTCGAAACGCTACCTCCCGAAGAAGTATTAAAAAGGGCGATAAAATTTGAGCAGAGTAAACAATCGACTCAAGCATTTCAGAAAACTACTCTGGGAACTGCACAAGCAACACTTCACCAAGGACCACAGATTAAAGTCAAACAAGAACCAATTATGGTGGTTGGTAACAGGAATCAAAGCAATAAAAAACCCTATCATGAAAGAAATAGACGGAAACAACAAGAGGGGAGAGGGTTACCAAACAATAGTAACGCAGAGGACAGAAAACCCTGCAACAGGTGTGGTAGACCATTTGTAGACGGTCACTTGAAAAATTGTGCAGCGATGGGAAAACAGTGTAAGAATTGTAACAAACCAAATCATTTTGCTCGAATGTGCCGGTCACAACAGGTCAGTGAAATAACTGAAAATACAGAGAGTTCGGAAGGAGAATGTAATCTGATACAAACATTCGATTCATGCGAAGAATTCGAGGTTATGGCAGTGGAACAGAAAGACAGCGAAGTAGAGATGATCAACAGATACATTGATGAAAAAATGAAAGAAAACAGCGGGGTTAACGAACTAGAAACGAAAAAGATTGACATACGGAATGACTCATCATCAGGAAGGATGAAGTCACTGAAGGCTTTAATCCGAATTGACAATCAGATAATAAATATGACGGTGGACACCGGTAGTCCAATTTCATTCATAAATTGGACAGTAGCAAAACAAATTCTTGAGTTATCAGAAAAAATACAATTTACTCCAGTCGAGAAATTGTATTTACCAGCGCAATTCGTGGACTATAATAAAAAACCAATAGCAATATTGGGGGCGGTGAAGGCCAACATAAGATCCGCCGGTTGGGAAGTCCCAAAGGCTACTTTTCTGATTA